CATGTGGCAGTGGGTGAGGGGAAAAATATTGCTCAGCCAGAAATCTGGATTATAAATATATAACCCATAGATTCTTGATTCTATAGCAATCTTGCAAGGCTACTATGGAAGTTTACCAGAAAAAAGAAACTATCTTGACATATTACAAAAATACAAATACCCTACACCCTGACATTTTGCCTAATAAAGAATGTTACTTGCATGTGGCAGTGGGTGAGGGGAAAAATATTGCTCAGCCAGAAATCTGGATTATAAATATATAACCCATAGATTCTTGATTCTATAGCAATCTTGCAAGGCTACTATGGAAGTTTACCAGAAAAAAGAAACTATCTTGACATATTACAAAAATACAAATACCCTACACCCTGACATTTTGCCTAATAAAGAATGTTACTTGTTTGGGACTAGTAAATTTCACAAAGCTGACCTAAAGTTTATCGTAAGTCTCTAAGGGTATGTCTACACTAGCCCCTTAGTTCGAACTAGGGAGGCTAACAGGCATTCGAACTTGCAAACGAAGCCCAGGATTTAAATATCCCGGGCTTTATTTGCATGTTCCTGTCCGGTTGCCATTTTAAAATCCCACTAGTACGAACTAACTGTCCGTGGCTACCCGCGGCAGTCAACTGTTAGTTCGAACTAAGTCCTTAGTTTGAATCAACTGTTACTCCTCGTGGAATGAGGTGTAACAGTTAATTCGAACCAAGGACTTAGTTCGAATTAATGTTTGACTGCAGCGTGCAGCTAGTTCGGATAAGTGGGATTTAAAAATGGCGACAGGATGGGAACATGCAAATAAAGCTCGGGATATTTAAATACCGGGCTTCATTTGCAAATTCGAATGCCTACATTAGCCTCCCTAGTTCGAACTAAGGGGCTAGTGTAGACATACCCTAAGAGAGCTGACAAACGCCAGTCTCACCCCAGTACCAAAGCACTGAATGTGTAAGAGCAAAATTTAAACTTACTTTTAATGCTGTTGCCGCTTTCTTCCATTCTGGAGTTAGTCTTTGACAGTGACCACACCTTTTGGAAAAATAATTTATTTTCAATCAAGTGGGTACATACTTTTTCACAAAATACTTTAAGAAATCAATGTAATTTGAACCCCCCAAGAGTACAGCATACAAGTAATGTCAATCATTTGCTCTTTGCAATACAGTTGGGAGTTCTATCCATGTGAGGGAGGAAGAAAACCAAGTTGTAATATCTTCATGTCACTGCAGACACCAGGAGCAACATTTGCAAAGGAAGTTAATATTGAAAATTATAGATGGAGATTCTAGGCTGGATATAATGCAGCTCTTACCAAACCAGATTAGGGATGTAACTGTATAGTCAATTAATTGATAGGCAAAAGCTTATCGGTTAATAAGCTTGTAGTAAGATTACAACCATTCCCCCCTACCCTTTGCTAGAACATTTTTTAGCAGGCTGGCGAGTTGCCTGGCTCAGTTCCAGTTTATGCTATCCCCACTGCGGCTCTGCATTTAAAGCGTATTAGGAGCCAGGCGTGCAGGCAGCCCAGCTCAGTTCAGGCTCACACTGGGTCCAAGAGCTCAGACCCCCTACCCCCTAGACAGGGGCTGCTGCCACCCTGCGTTGTTAAACTGGCTCCCCTCGCGGACAAGCTCCTCCTACCTGGCACTCTGTGTTGCTGCCTCTGATACAGAGGAACTGCACGGAGCGGCAGGGGGCTCCTCAGGAGTGGGGCTGGAGTGCACTGGTTGACAGTGCCAGCCCCACCTCTGAGGACTATAAAATAGCCGAGTAACCGATAAAAAGTCTGAGGTTAATCAACTATTCAATTAACCAATATTTAACATCTTTAAACCAGACCTATTATTTCCCCTCACTGTTCTATAAAAACAACCAATAGTCTAGTAGCACCTTAAAGACTAACAGAACACGTAGAGGATATCATAAATTCAGGTTTATTTTGCTGGCCACATGGCTACTGAAATGCATTTAAACCCAAGTGAGATTTGTGCTAGACAGTGAATGGTTGGTCCAGGATTTCAAATAAATACCCTTTGTATTCTCCCAAGATACAAAAGTGAGCAGGAGCAGGAAGTCCTTTTTTATAGAAATTAGCCAACTCTCTTATAAGCACACCTGCCAGGATAGTATGTGCTAGGGTTCTCTGACTAGCTATGATACTTACCATGGTGCATAGAATTCTACCAGCCATAAACTGTCACTCTGAATGACTTCCTTGTTGAAATTTGTTGGTGTTAGCTCTATCACATCATCACTGGATGAATACAGGCTCTTAGCTGCCATAAAGAATGTGCAGCTCACAACTCCTAGAACAAAAAGAAAACCAAAATTATACTCCTATCTGTTGGAGAAGAAACAGGTGACCCAGGAGCGGATGGGGTAAACAGAACCACTGTATTGCCTACACATCTTCACCTCGGACATTCAACACAATGAACGAGTGGCAACAACCTGGTGTTAATCACACCCTTTTATCTATTTTAGTACATTAATTCACATGTCTATCACTACTTTCCCTAAAGCCTTATTTAGTAATGTTAACTCCCGTAAAATGAATATTAATAAGCAAATGAAAACAATTGTACCTGCCCCCTAATTACTATTTATACAATTTCTAATAAATCAACAAATTCCTATACGACAAACTAACAGATTACAGAAATTACAAGGAGGTTGACCCTGAAGATATTACGCAGAGCCAATGAAAATAAGCAAGAGACAAGATAGAACAGCTCCATACTAATCCCAAAGTACAAAACAAAAGGAAAAAGCAGTTCCAAGGGCAATGCGTGCTGTGGCTGAATCGTTAATCACTAATGCAAAAACGCCATTCCAAACCTATTAATTCTTTCACACACTCCCCCACTCTCCTTTTTTTCCTCTTTTGTTTGGGAATTTCCATCAACTATTCAATAAGCACTTCTGTGTTCCACTTTTGAAATGTACAAGAGCCCCAGTGGGGGCTCTTGTGCATTTAAAAGTTGGAATGCCGCATGGAGCCAAGGGTCAGCAGGAGGCTCAGAGTCCCACGCTGGCCCCAGGCTCCATGCTGCACTTCCTCTTTGAAATGCACAAAAGCCCCATGCTGGGGACTTTTGTATATTTCAAAGCTAGCATGCCACCTGGAGCCCGGGGTCAGCTGGAGTGTCTCCAGGTGATCCCAAGCTCCACGTTGCCACTTTGAAATGCTGTGAGGAGCCTGATGGCATTCAAAATGGCAGAGCCATTCTCCCACCCCCTTGCTGCCTCTATCTGATAGCATTTGCTTACCGGATAGTCAACTAGTCCTTTATATCCCTAATGCCAATAAGCCTAACACCCTCTGGCTGAGTTATTTAAATCCTCAAATCTTGATTTACGGATTTTCAGATGACAGAGAATCCACTTTTTGCTCTAGTTCAAATCAACGAGTGACCCACACTCCACTTTGCAGAAGACGACAAGAAGAACATAAGAATGGCCATACTGGGTCAGACCAAAGGTCCATCCAGCCCAGTACCCTGTCTGCTGACAGTGGCCAATGCCAGATGCCCCAGAGGTAGTGAATCGAACAGTTCTCTTTTAAACCCTGTTATAGTCCTAGCCTTCACAACCTCCTCAGGCAAGGAGTTCCACAGGTTGACTATGCGCGGTGTGAAGAACTTCCTTTTATTTGTTTTAAACCCACTGCCCATTAGTTTCATTTGGTGGCCCCTAGTTCTTATCTAAAATCATGAGTGGTGTGGAGAAAGTGAATAAAGAAAAGTTATCTCCATCATATCCCCTGTTAGTCTTCTCTTTTCCAAGCTGAAAAGTCCCACTCTCTTTTCTCTCTCCTCATATGGGACCCGTTCCAAACCCCTAATCATTTTAGTTGCCCTTCTCTGAACCTTTTCTAATGCCACCACTGCCCTCTCCGTCCCCACCAATCTGACCTGGAGAAAAATTCATTCCTGGGCCTAGCAAATGAATGGCAGTGCTGGGAATTCAGCACAGCTTTCCTGAGTCCCATCACATTGAGCTTCATTGTGCCATACTGCCTCATAATGGTTCCTTCTGGCCTTAAAAATCCATGAGATTCTTTTGGAGTTATCCTGGACTAGTTTAAGTATGTTTATTCATGTGCTAGAGCAGTGTTTCTTAAACCGTGTTCCGCGTACACCAGTGTGCTGCGAGGCAGTTAGAGATGTGCTGCGGAGAACAGAATTCAAAATGGCCACCCTTAAAGTTGCAGGCGAACTTTTTGTTTTGGCTGAATAACTTTCCCCTGACCCTTTTTACTCAATAAAAAATCCTTAGTGTTCCTCATAAAAAAATTATTGTTTGGTGTTCCTCAGTCTTAAAAAGTTTAAGAAACACTGTGTTAGAGTCTCTTCCCCCTGACAAAGGTAGTACTACTCATATCAACTCACAGCAGTGTACAGGCAGTCCCCGGGTTACGTACAAGATAGGGACTGTAGGTTTGTTCTTAAGTTGAATCTGTATGTAAGTCGGAACTGGCGTCCAGATTCAGCCGCTGCTGAAACTGACCGCCAGTTAGACGGGGGGGCAAAGCAGAGCCAAGCCGCGGAGCGCGTGGGCAGCGGATAACCCTGTCCGCTGCCCGCGGGGAACTATAACTCACAAGCTGGTCTATCTCCCTGAGTGCCCAACGCCGCTGCTGGGACGGGACCTGCTTTGTCGCTTAGGTGCCACCCTGCATTTCACCCAGGATGAAATAACCCTTACCTTACCCCCCGAGAATGCCTGGATAATGACTCTGGCAGCTGAGCCCTCTGCCGTGCAAGCCCCTGAGTGGAGCCAGTGGGAGGATCAGGTGTACCCCCTAGTATGGTCATCAAGGGTCCCAGGAAAAGCCACACACCAAACCCCTGTCAGCGTTCAGCTCCTCCCAGGCGAAAGGTTTGGAGCCCTATGGACATAGTGGAAGGAATAAGGAAAGTAAGAATAAAGTCATTAGAAAGTTAAATTAATAAGAATGAGAAATGTTTTCTTTGGAAAGACGAAGCAAATGATTTGAAGGTATGTGAAGGTGAAAAATGAACTCTGTAGAAGTGTAGAAAGAATTAGGCGAATGTTGTAATATATGAAAAGAAACCTGCTTTAAGAAGTGACCTTGCTAACCTGTCCCTCCCTTAACCCAGCCAATCTTTTACCGGAGACAGAACAGCAGGAACACGACTGCTTGGAGATAATAGATGCCCAATACTCCAGCCGTCCGGACTTAAAGGATCAACCGCTCCCTAATGCGGATTGTGAGTGGTACACTGATGGTAGTAGTGTTGTGGTAGACGGGCAAGGGAGGACGGGCTACGCTGTCGTGACCCTCCACGATACCGTGGAAGCCAAGGGTTTGCCTGCTGGGACATCTGCCCAGCTTACTGAACTGGTAGCCCTGACCCGTGCGCTCGAACTGTCAGAGGGAAAACGGGTCAACATCTTTACCGACTCCAGATATGCTTTTGGAGTACTACATGCTCATGCTGGTCTGTGGAAACAGAGGGGCATGCTGACAGTCCAAGGCTGCCCCGCTGCCCGAGCCCCTCCGCGGCTTTGCTCTGCATCTTTCTGGTCTGCAGACCAGGGAGACGCAGAGAAAGCCCCAGAGTACACGGGCGGCAGGACCGCGAGGTCCCGCAGTCCGTGTACTCTGTGGCAGCCCCGTTCGTATCTGCGGATCCAACGTAAGTCGGGGACTGCCTGTACTTCAGGAGTGACAAAGCTCACACACAACTACCCTTGTAGTGTGTCAGGTTGTCCTACAGTAAAAGCTGCCACGGGGGGGGGAGGTAAGACATTGAGAAGGTGAAAGAGCTTCAACTGTATGGTACAACTGCTTTTTTTTTTTTTTTGTAGTAAATATGAGGAAAACGTCCCTTCGACCAAGTCAGACTAGCAGGTTGAATACATTGAATGTACAATTGCAACAAGACTTACAGGAAATAAATACATCACCTAAGAGATTTATGGCAAAAGTAAAAACCAAACTAGAGTTCAGTGAATTTTATTCAGTAATTTCTGCCATTTACCCCTCTTTTCACAAGCAGATCTTCCATTTTATCTGAAACTTTTGTTAATCAGCAAATTGTTAACAGTTCATTTGAAATCAGCCCCAATCACTTTCTGTTCCCTAATTGTAAGACACTGAACTAGCCAGAAGTCTGATCTGCAATTTCTGCAACCACATATGCAATCTGAAATTTGCCTTCAGCAATAATTCTAAGTTAAAACTCACTTTCATGTAAATAGTAATGAAACTCAAATAGCACAATACGAAGTACAGGTTGAACCTCCCAAATCCAGGACTCTCTGGTCTGGTAACCTCTATGGTCCAGCACGGCCACAGATATTGCTGGATTCCTAAAGGTAGGAGTGAGAGCCAGCCAGAGAACCAGGGCTGGAGAGCCCTGGCTGGGCCAGCAGTAGCTCGAAACCCCTGGCATCAGTGGGGCAGGCAGAGGTGAGGAGCCCTGCCTCGTCTGAAGAACTCTCGTCATCAGTGGGACCAGGCAGTAAACAGGGAGCCCCAACCCAACCTGGGAACCACTGGTATCAGCTGGGCCACGTGGCAAACAAGGAGCCCCTGCCCTGGCTGGGGTACTCCCTGAAGCAGCAGGACCAGGCAGCCCCAGAGCAGGACTGGCTCTGTCAGTGGGGCCAGTGGGATGGCAGCTAGGCAGCCCCAGCTGGGTAACCCCAGAAACTCCCAGCAGCAGCCAGCATGACGGACCTGGCCAACGAATTTCCTGGCATTATTTGAGTCAGGCAGGGCTGGGGAACCCCTGATGTCAATGGAGACAGGTGGCCGGGAGCCCCGGCTGGAGAACCTAGTGAATCCCTGGTGGAGTCAGGGCAGGGGTAGGTGGGCAGAGAACCCCTGGCAGCAGCAGGGCCAGGCAGCAGCAGGGGAGTATTGGCTGGGGATACCCCAAGAACCCCCAGTGGCAGCAGAGCTGCAGGCTTCTGAGAGGGGCTGCTGGCAGCCAGGTGGCCCCAGAACAGAACACGGGCAGCAGCAGGGCCGGCAACAGCCAGATGGTCCTGTCCAGAACCCGTGGAACTCTGGTGGCAGCGAGCAGCATCAAGGTGGGAGCCCCAGCCTTGGGAGTGAAGCAGCTAGAAGGGCAGCACTGACCTCCCCTATTCCAGCAAACTCCCTGGTTCAGGACCGCTCAGGTCCCAAGGGTGCTGGATCAGGGAGATCCTTTTACAGGTTGGACCTCCAATGCTGTCAAATCAGAATTTGCTTTAGAATTTGAAATAAATTATACAGAAAACAAGAATATTTACAGTTATGATACAAGTATAAAGGCGAGAAACATTCACTGTCATGACAAAAGCCAACACTAACC